TACGGTTGAGAGTTTCTGGAGGCTTGCGTGACGGGCTCATAGGGTGTTGCGTTTAGGATTTAGGCCTCGCTTCACTGTCGTTGTCTTTTTGACACATTGTCTCTTTCCACACTGCTAGTGGTACTAAAGTTGATGTCGAGACTATATGTGCATGCATGCATGCATGAAATGCATGCGGGAGAACCGTGTTTTCGGTGCTGAGAAGTGGCCCCATGCGTTCTGTAAACAGCGCGAGACTCTGGCGCAGCTATGGCTTAGCGCCTCGGGTTGTAAACTTTAGAGCATACTGGGTTTAGGGCGAAACGTGTCGTAGCTTTTTCGGAAAAGCATCACGAGTAGTTTAGGAGTTTGGGACTGCGAAGACGACATTGTCAGAAGTGATGTCGAACTCGCCTACATAACTAATTAGCACGTGCGCCAAGCTAACCAACAAAAGCTATAGCTTTATGAACCCGGCCCGGACATCACACCCTCTCATACAAGACGGTGCACCCCCTCAAGATCATGGCATGGCATCAATTTGTCCGCGAGCCTCACCAGCGCCGAAGGGCATGCGAACCTTACACAGATCGGCAAGAAGACTGATTGGTAAGCATTGCTGTTTCCACAATCAGTATCATTCTGGTATCATAACAATATAGGCCCCAAAACCCCAATTATTATCATTATGGTATCATAACAATATAAGCCCGAATCCCTAATTACTATGATGTCGCTGGTCTTGTGTGTGTTGCTCTCGCTTCCGGGCTTCGGCTGTCAGAGGAGGAGCAGACCCATGGCATGGTATACTTGGAGGATCATGGGACTTAGCAACTAGGGTTATAATTGAGGTTTAGGGTTTAGGGCTCAGGGTTTAGGGTTTAGGGTTTAGGGTCTCACTTGGAGGATCATGGGACTTCGTAAGTAGGGTTACGAGTACCTTAATTGGGGTTATAAGTACTTATAAGTATAGTTACCTTAACTATAACCCTAGCTACTAAGTCCCATGATCCTTTAAATAGAATTCCTGATTGTCTCTTGGGGCTAGTTGTCTCCATAGGCTGAACCCGAAACCACGCCGTCGCTGCTCCGTTCCGGCTTTGGGGGGTATTCTACTCTAACTCCATTATATACCGGAGGGGATACTATTCCGAAGTTATTGTGACCCTCTAGCTCAGCTCTCCGAACCATCTCGCAGCCCTGCACCAGGCACATGCAGTCGCCTAAAGAGACCAGATGCCCAAAACCTACCCCTCAGGCTCAAAATAGCCCAAAAGCCTTGAATAGTTCGGGCTTTGGGCCCAAAAAACCTTAGAATATGAGTCCTTAGAGCCTCAGGGTAGTTCGGGCTTTGGGCCCAAAACCCCCTAGAATGTGGGTCCTTAGAGCCTTAGGGTACTAGATGGTCATCGAATCATTCTGCTTCACCTTGCGTCCTGCATGAAGTCATGGGCTTTCTACTTTCTGAACGATAGCTGTGCCTTTCCCTACAGGGTCTTATAAGTACCTGAATATATATATATATATATAGAGAGAGAGAGAGAGAGTAGAAAGTAGAGCTCTATAGATTCTATAGTAGGATCTTACTAGTATGATGGTCTGGGCAGGTATCCCCCGTCTAGGTACCCTGAAGTAAATCCTCCTTACAGGAACCTGTGAAGGAAGTCTTTAAAGGAACCCTAGAACCCTCCTTACAGGAACCTTTGAAGGAAACCTTATTGGTAGTTTTCTAAATTAGGGTCCCTTTTGGGGTCCTTTTTGCAAGGGTGCCGTACTCTATTGGGGACCTAAGATGGGACCCTAATTTAGAGAACTACCCTTATATTAAAGGAACCCACGAAATTAGGCACTTAGCACGCTCTGGGTTCCACAATCATCTAAGCATCTACTGCCCCAAACCCTAGCGCCTAATTCCTAAGCTCCTAAACCGTAAACCCGTAAACCCTACACCCCAAACACTAAACCCCTAAACCCCGAAACTCTAAAGCCTAAACTGGGCATCGAGAGGCCGCGATGCCGGGTTCGATCTCCGTGGGCTCCTGGTAATAAGGTTGAGAGTTTCAGGGTTTAGGGTTTAGGGGCTTCGGGGCTTGGGGTTTGAGGGGTTAGGGGTTTAAGGTCTGGGGTGGGCTTCGGCAGTCTAGTTGTAAGAAATGCAGATCATCCGGAGTTCAGGATCCATGAGGGTTTGGCTAATAAGTGCTTCAAACTTCTCGCACACACGCACGATCTCCTACACCCCGCACCCGTAAGCCTTGACTTAAACTTATTGACCCTAGAGTCTCAACCCTATAATAACCCTAAACTCAGACATAGGATCGATGGTCTACCAACCCCGGAAGACAGGGAATCCGTGTTTTCAGAAATCCGGCGGAAGGGGAAGCCCTACACCGCCAGCCTCACACTCAAACGCCTGAGCCGTAAGCCTCCACACCCTAGACCCATTCGGTGTAGGGTTTATGGTTTCTGGGTACATCCCCCAGAAGTAGGTAAAATAATGGCCCAAAACCCTATGAACGGCCATTGCTCTACATACTTTTGGGAGTCTAGGAACGGTTTGTAAACCTTCAAACCCTTGACACTGGACCCTAAACCCCAAACCCCAAAACCCCGAAACCCCTGAGCCCCTAAACCCTAAACCCCTAAACCCTAAACTTTAAACCCCTAAACCCTACACCCTAAACATCTATCCCCTATAGCCGTAAACCCCTAAACCCTAAGCCCCTAAACCCTGAACCCCTAACCCCTAAACCCTCAACCCTAAACCTTAAACCCCTAAACCCTAAACCCCTAACCCCTAAACCCCTAAACCCTGAAGCCTTGAACCCCAAAACCTCAACCCTAAACCTTTAACCCCTAAACCCCAAACCCAGAACCCCTAATCCATAAACCCCTAAACCCAGTGCCAGCGCAAGAAACTGAGCCTCGGCCCGCAATCCGTACGTCAGGGCCTGGCGGTTTAGGCTTTAGCGTTTTTTGCCCGTTTAGGGCTTCGGGTTTAAGGTTTAGGGTTTAGGGGTTTAGGGTTTAGGGTTTGGGGTTTGGGGTTTGGGGTTTAGGGCTTAAGGCTTAGGGTTTAGGGTTTAGGCTTAGGGGTTTAGGGTAAGGGTTTAGGGCTTGCGGTTTACCTGGACCCTAAACAACCTGCCTTTTTAGGGTTCCTTAGTTTGAGTTCCTTGTATAAGTTCCTTAGAAAGGTAGGTCATGTAGAGTCTAGGTAGGCTTAATTAAATCTACGGAATGTAATCATCAGGATCTCAGAATCGGAGACTAAGGTACCAAAAACGCACTCAATTTTAGGGTCGAGGCACTTGATGAAGTTTCTCGCTGTTGGATACTGTGCCTACTACTGTATAAAAATCATGGGTTTAGGGCTTAACATGCTTCAGGTGCAGAGCGTCCAGGAATTTGACGGTTTGGCCCCCCCAGACACATGGAAGAGGGGAGAACACCCATGCTCGTGTAGAGGAGTGCATTACTCCAAACGCTTCCGACCCTCTTCATCCCCAAACCCAAACCCCTAAACCCAAAACCCCTAACCCTAAACCCCTAACCCCTAAACCCTAAACCCCTAACCCCTAAACCCTGAACCCCCAAACCCTAAACCCTGAACCCCTAAACTACTCTCCGAAACCCCTAAACCCCTGAACCCTCAACCCTTAACCTCCTGAACCCCGTCCCTATCCCGCCATGGTCCACGAACCCCAAGCCCTTAGCAAGGAAAGCCAGACCGTTTCTCGGAGATAAGCATAAATACCATACCCTAAGGGTCCATGTACCCAAATAGATATACTGTGGCCTTAAAGTGGGCCTTGGCGTCCCAGCGTAATACCCAGAGCCAATACACCTTAATTAAGGAATATGCCTTAATTTATATAGGGGCCTTAATATTATGATTTAAGGTATATTCCTATTGAGTTCTCTGGGTACATATTCTCCAGCCTAAATGGTGGGATCCCTCTGATAAGGAGCGGACCCCCCAAAGAGGTGACCCTTTCACCCTAAACCAAAACCCTAAACCCTAAACCCTAAACCCTAAACCCTAAACCCTAAACCCTAAACCCTAAACCCTAAGACCCTTTCTTCCTCTTTCTGAAACTCCCATATCCTCAGCATTCGTTCACGTGGCAGCTTGAGGTTTGAGGTTTCTTTTTAGGTTTAGGGTTTAGGGTTTAGGGTTTAGGGTTTAGGGTTTAGGGTTCAGAGTATGATTGAGCATTGAGAGTCAAGAGCCCGGGATAAGGAACCCCGAAACCCGAAACCTTACTGCCCACCCGAAACCGAAATCTCAAACCCTACCTTGACCCCCAAAATATCTAGAATAACCGCCTTTTATAGGCGTTGAGCTACTATTTTACCTACTCTTGAGGGTTTATGGTATACGCCCGAAATCCTAAACCCCGGAAGCCAAAAACCGAAACCCGTGAACCCGAAACCCAGGGGCTAGGCTCGCAACCCCCCTTACAGCCGAAGTATCTACTTGCGCTTCTTGGCTGCGTGGACCTCTACTAGGCTCTAGAAACCGCCGTATTTAACCCCAAATTGCCTAAACCCTAAACCGTAACCGCTAGACTCAAAGCCTTAAACCGTAAAGCCCTATCCAGGGGCCTGCCCACCCAGCTCGAACTCCTCCTGGGCCTGGCAAGTCTTTCGGAGTCTTATTGCAACCGAGGCGAGCGCGGTCCCAAGCAGCGCCTCACAGCTTTTCTGCACTTCCATGCAGGGTCACAGATCTGGCTTCATCATCGTGCGCCAGAGTGTTGCAACAAAGCTGCAAGACTGTCCACAAGCTTGTGCTTGAGCTTATAGCACATCCCTTGAAGCCTCTGTGAAAATCAATAAAAATGGCATAATGGCATGTGATGTAAGTGGCTGGGCTTCTAGGGCCTGTTCCTGAAATCTTTATTAAAGCCAGGAGCTATCTGCAAAAGTGCAGTGCTGTCCCCAGCGGTGTCCCATGTATCCGGGCTTTTGCCGGTAAAACTCGACATGCGGTAAAAAGGCTACTGAACCCTTGTAGCTCCCTGCTCCACGACCACCTCATCGGATGTAGTTGCCTGGCAGCTGTCGCACGACAGCCAGCCCCAATTCTTCTCCGAGGTGTTGAGAGCATTCTCGGCGTTCGTGTGGGCTGCGGCGGGCGCGTTTGATGCTTGCTCCGAGGTCGATTGGAAGTAGGGGGCTGAGGCATCTGCCACCTTTTGGGCCCCTTGGCGTGCTGCATCCGTGGCTCTCTGGAACCAAGGCAACGCGGAATCGGCCATGTTCTGCATACCCTGGCGAGCCTTTTCGACGTAAGGTGCTGAGGCATCGGCCATGTCCTGTCCTTTCTTTTGGGCCTTCTCAAGGTAGGGAGCAGAAGCATCGTAGGCGTCCTTGGCACCCTGGCGCGCCTTCTCGACGTACGGCGCTGAGGCGTCAGCCACATCCTGGGCACCCTTGTGGGCCTTGTCAAGGTACGGTTTCGATGCATCGAATGCATCCTGCATGCCTTGACGAGCCTTCTCGACATAGGGCGCTGAGGCATCCGCCATGTCCTGCCCCTTCTTCTGCGCGTTCTCGAGGCATGGACCAGCAGCGTCATAAGCATCCTTGGCACTTTGGCGGGCCTTCTCGACATAAGGCGCCGATGCGTCGGCAGCGTCCTTGGCACCCTGGCGGGCCTTCTCGACATAAGGGGCCGATGCGTCAGCGACATCCTTGGCACCCTGGCGGGCTTTGTCGACATAAGGTGCCGATGCCTCAGCAACGTCCTTGGCACCCTGGCGGGCCTTCTCGACATAAGGTGCCGATGCGTCAGCAACGTCCTTGGCACCCTGGCGGGCCTTCTCGACATAAGGGGCCGATGC